CTTGTTTTTTTTTTTTTTTTTTGGTCCAGACAATTTGCACCCCCTGACACGGGTCCAGACTCTCCACGTCCAGTGATGTCCAGGTGTCCTGTGGTGTCCGGAACAGCGGACAGTCCAGACCGGTCCAGACACTAGTCCGGAAGACAGTCCTGAAGTGTCCGGTGTCCGGGTCTGTGGTTATTTCTTTTTGCCTTTTTTTTTTTGACGTAGTGAGCTACTTATGGGAGGTTGTTTCAAACAGTTGCTACTTGGGGTGTTTCTTTAAAAAAAAAAAAAAAAAAACAGTTGCGCCTCGTGAGAGTTGTATTCTATTTGTGATATTGTTTACTAATGTTTACTCAACTTTACTGTATGTATTGTCAAACAGAGCTGCCCGGTAAACCGTAGGCAGAGAGGGAGAATAGAACAACAAATGAGGGGCTGTGGCAAACTGTTTCGTCAGTTGACTCATATTTTTTTCCTCCCCCCTTGCCTTAGGACAGTTGCACCCTAAAATTTGTTCTACAAGAAGGCACCCCGTACCTTATGTTTGTATACAAGGTACGTACCTTGTTTTCGGTTTACGACGTTAGGTGCAGTTAAGCAGTGAATTGACGCTGTCCTCATTGGGTGTCAGCGCGGTGGGGGAGTGGATGGAGGAGAGGGGAAGGTGAGTGGGAAGGGAGGTGTGGAGTAGAGGGAGCAGAGGGGAAGGTGAGTTGGAGGGGAGGAGGACTAGGGACAGTCAAGCAGTGCGTTGACTGTGTCCTCGTTGGGCGGCAGCGGGATGGGGAGTCCTCGTTGGGCGTCAGCGGGATGGGGAGCATCTGCCTTAAAGCAGGGGTGATGGCCAAGCATCCAAGATGATTGGATGCCTTGCATGAATCTGGAGGTGTTTTTGCAGAGATGCATATAAGCAATCGAATGAACTTTTGTGCAAACATGTTCAGATTCAGGGAGTTGAAACCAATCCTCCACTAGGCGCTGTCACTAGGTGCTGTCAAGCAGTGAATCGCAAACAGGAGCAGGCTGAACTCGTGAACGGAAAGAAAAAAAAGAAAAAGCATCGTGAATGTTGGCGCACACTTCGAGCTGTGCCTGCACTCGCACGCGGCTCGTGGACGAGCTGCGGACGCTCACACACACTACGCAGCTCCGTGCCATTCGCTGCAGCAGCAACTGTGACTGTGAGAATTTGATTGTGTTTCCACCTTCCACACCCGGATCAGTCCTGTCCGCTGTGTAGAGGTGGCCACTTACCATAGGCACAGGCAACCGCTGCTCCTCAACGGCAAATATTCTGCAACCCAAACACTGACTGACCCAGTGACTGGCCCCTTGCGCCATTCTAGAGTTAAGACTGCTCCAGAGGTGAGTATTTAGAACCCTGTGAAGTTCATCATCTATGTTCTGCCTCTGCCACTAAACTTTCTTCCCTACCCCTTTCTTCTTACAGAACTCCATCTCCGATCCCTTCCCTTCCTCCCTCTCCTTGTGTACTATTAGTAAATGTATATGGAGTACCATTAAAAGAACAGGCAAATAAGTTGAAGATTTGAAGAAAAATGAACAGAGAGTGGGCAAAGGACAGAACAAAGATATGTTGAACTTCATGGGGTTCTAAATACTCTAGAATCCTGGAGCTGTGTTTGGGTTCTAAATGCTCTAAAATCCCTATGTCCTTTGCCACTTTCATAACGTGCCTCCTTTTATATCGTGCAAGCAGAAGGGTGTCGGTGGGTCTCAGTGGCAGAAGGGTGCTGCGAACCCGTCAGTACTTAATAACAGCAAAGCATCCAAACTCAGTGAAGAAACGACAAGTGACGTGGTAGTGGACGAGAGTTCATCCCGCGAAAACTCTTGACTAACTCGGTGTTCGGTGAAGAAATGACAGCCAACTAGTCTCCCAAAGTTTCGTTTCGTATCACCTCGCCAAAACTCTTAATTGACTCACGATTTGGCAAATGCCCGCAAACTCAATTTGTCAATCAGTAGTGAAAGATGAATCAGAAAATTCTTTGCGGACATCATACTTTGATATTGTCTACGGATATTAGACTTGGATATTGTATGTCGTGGTCGGACTCTGAAATTATTGTAGACATCAGGTTTAGGTTCAACAAAAATCCTGCATAGTCGAGATTAGGAGCGATCTGTGATACACTCGACAACACTCAGTAACTTGTAGACGCAGGAGTTAGTCTGCAAATCTCACTAGACGCATGACTCAATATGCTTGTCTCTGCATACTTAACACCGAGTTGTCGGACGAGCTAGAACACAAACATTGTAGCAGGACTCGCACCAGTTTTTTTTTTTAGCTTAGGAACTCGGATTGAGCTATAAGAATTTGAGGTACAATCGATCGAGCTCTCAGCTGCAAAAAATCAGGGGCAGCAACTTGATGCGTTGAAGCCCCACAAACCTCACTTGTAGGGGGAAAATGAAATAATATGGGAATAAGACTCGTATTCAAAGTTCAGCCGTAGAGATAACACAGAAACCAGTGAAAACAGAAACGTTATAAAATAATAATTTCCAGCGGTTTTAAACAAGTCACGGTGACAACAGTTCGGGAAAGCACGCTCAGAGCGGCAAGTACCCAAAGAAGCGGAAATACTCAAACTACCGTCTTCACCCAAAGACAATGTACAGTAGTCACTATTGTATTTAAACTCGAATTTGCCCCAAATACGACTATTATAATGACTCTACGATGTATTCAAGTTAAAACAGTGGCAAAAATACAGATTCTCGAAAACTAAAAAACAATCCACCCCCGAAACATAAAAACTATGGTATGAGAAACCTAGGAACAGGGGCATGTGGAGACAACAGGCGACAAACCAAAACAAGATTAAAACTTAGTAAAGACGTTGAAACCTGTAAACTCAAACAATTGACTGAGTCTCTAAAAGCA